AATCCCTGGACAGCACCTTAATCAAAGAATCCATTAATATCACTAGGAATAATACCACCATGTTGTCCAATTTGATGTGCATATTTTTCTCCAAAATCCATAACTTCAGTCTAATGGAAAAACGTCAGATAAACTGACATTGAAGGGCATGCTACAAAATAACTGCCCAGCACTCTTGGAAAGTGTCCATGTCCTGGGGCGCCTGCGTGGCTCAGTCATTAAGCATCTGACTCTTGATCTTGGTTCAGGTCTTGATCTCAGGGTCATGAGTTCAAGCTCCATGTTGGGCATATGGGAAGTGGAGGCTACTTTAAAAAAAATTTAAAAATTAAAAATAAATAAAAGTGTCAATGTCATGAAAGAAAAGGAAAGATTAGCAATTGATCAGAGGAGACCCAGGAGACCTAGCAGCTAAATGTGATGTGGGACTCTGGATGGAAGTCAGGAACATTCAAGATGAATAGTGGAAAATCTGGCAAAATTCTAGAAAAGACTATATAGTTAATAGCCTTGTACCAATATCAGTTTTGTGGTTTTGATAAGTATGCTGTGGTTTGGTTATGTATGATGTTATCATTAGGGGAAGCTGGGTAAAGAGTGTAGGGGAAGTTTCTATACTGTTCTTGCAAGAAGACTTTTCTCTAAATCTAAATCACCTAAAATTATCTCAAAATAAACTTAAAAGCATAAAGTGACTCCCATACACCCTTCCTGCCTTATCCCTAGTCCCACCCCTCCCTTGACGTCCTTCATAGCTGCTCACATACAATCACCTTGTTTGCTACCTGACTTCCCCACGCGCTGCAAACCCCATACATCAGTGGGTTTCCCCCAGTGCCTCCGTAGTGACCTGCATACAGGAAGCGCTGCTTTCAAATGTGTAGGAGTAAATGAATTCATTTTCCTGGATGTCACCAGGAAAAACGAATGGGAAAACTGAGTGTTTATAGAAAGCCTCCTGAGCATGTATAGTCAGGAGTTGCCCAAAGGTGAAATTATGGAACCCGCCCCCAATTAGAAATTCTCACCCCAGATGTTGCAGATGGAAATAATTGGCTACCCAGAAATCTTGCCCCAGGCATCAGTGGTCCCCCCAGGGCCACCCCAGAGAGAGGATTCCTGGCAGGACATAGCTCAGATGGCCGGGATCTAGAACATAGGCCAGGCAGAGAGCACCCACTGCTCCTTCAGCCTGGCCAGATCTGCCAGGAAGCTGGGAAATGAACTTCCCAATCCCATAAGTGGTAGCAAAAAAAAATTATCTGGGAAAACCCAAGAAGTCACGTTGTACAGACCTTGGCTTTTCCCATAAATTCCCTCTGCAGACCATCAACAATGGCAGGGGGGTGGGAGGCAGCAACAGGCCACTTCCAGCTGGATTTTTATGCTGTCCTTTCAACATCAGATGGTGGAGGTCCAGCCTGATGTAGTGGAGCAGCCCAGATGGGAGTCAGGATCCCTGGGTTCCATCTCTGTGTGTGTATAAAAGTGGAAGGAGACTGTGTGTGGTGACCTCTGTCCTTGGAGCTCTGATGTTCTGGAATCTCCAGCACTTTCATAAACGGTCAGTTTCTGTTTTGTGCCTGAGCCAGAACAGCCTCAGTGGTGGTTCTGAGGGGCTGCCTCTCTGAGCCTGGGCATCTTTGGGAGATTCCAGACCTTGGGGAAGTGGAGGCTTGGCATGAAGGTGCACTAAGAAGGAAATGCTCCTGTATAATATGTTAGAAGCATTTGCTGGACCAGAACCAACTACCTACTACAGTAGCAAACATGGCCTTTTGCAGTTTCATTGGACCCTGTATCAAATGGTCATTTTTGCAGATGTGAATACTGAGGTCCAGAGAATCAAGTGCCTTGACAAAGGTCAGGCAGGTGAAAAGGAGGGACCTTGAAACCATCCAAATGCCTTTCAGTTGAATTAATACATTTTTATGTTACATAACCTTTCATTCCATGCTTTTATTTAGAAAAAGAAAATTGAAAGCGTCCCTTTTCTCCCCCTTTGCTCTTGAGTCACACATGAAGGTTCTACTGGTGCTGGTAGGATGTTATCACTTTGATACAGGGATGAAGTGAGGAAATTGGAGGCCAGCACCCCTTCTCAACTCCTATTCCTATGGAATGGCCATCATTCCTACCTACCTGATAATGCCTGCCCCTCCCAAAGCCCTTTCAGGTCCCTCTGTGGAAAGCCTCCTAGTATCCCCACTTCACAGATGAGGAGACTGAGGCCAGGGAAAGTATCTGGTCACCAGTAGGGTCAGGGCTGGACCGGAAGTTCCAGCTACAGGCCAGAGCACCTATACTTCTCAATGCTGCTAGTGGCAAAAGCAGGGGCAGTGGCCCAGGAGCTACTATAGGGGCAAATCCAGATCCTTAACACCAGCTTTTGAGAAATACTGTTTCTGGGGCACCTGGGTGGCTCAGGCAGTTAAGTCAGTTAAGACTCTTGACTTCACCTCAGGTCATGATCTCCGGGTTATGAGATCCAGCATGGAGCCTGCTTACGATTCCTGCTCCCTCTGCCCCTCCACCCGCTAAAAAAATAAAAATAAATAAATACTATTCTAATACACAGAAGCAACTGCTGGAGAGCTGTACATCTAGACCGCTCTAGCATAGAGAGATGGAGCACTCCCCTTTAGCCAGTTACAGGCATGTCTAGTATAATGCTGCTCTCCAGGAAGTTTTATCAGTTTCTGATGAAAAGCATCACTTTCCTAACAGTGTCTCACCTTCTAGTGCTTGCCTGGAACAGCAGGGTGGGCAGTTTGCTGTGCTGAGCTACTGGGTGGTTCATCGAGTTCACACCCACAGGGGGAAAGCTGGGACCCGGGGTCAGTTCAGGTGCACAGGGCTCTCCTGACCGCACGCACGTGGGCCCCCCAGGTCAGCAAGGGAGGGAGGCCGCAGAGCGTGGTCCTCCCGTGGAGATGGCGGGTTCGTGGGTTGTTCCCTCGGCCCCCAGATCGGACAGGAAATCAGCGGCAGGCCTGCAGGCAGAGATTGCCCGCGGCCCCACGACCGGCCCGTCAGCCCCGCAGCCTTGGGAGCAGATCCGTGTGTGCGGATCCGTGTTCGATGCCCTCAGCCACCCTTCTTCACGCCCTGGGCCAAACCCTGTCACAGCCACCAGCCTAGACCTATGGCGTCCTGCACGTCCGGGATTCTTACACGGCCACGGAACAGAGGTGGTCTGTGCGGCCCCTGAATCCACAGAAATTGTCACCAAAGCTGTGCGTGTGGGAGTGGGAGTGTGTCTGTAGGGAGGAGGGGACGTGTGTGTCAGTATTCATGGCACGCGTCCCCGGGTGCGGGGACAGAGCCCGCTCCACACGATCCCTGCGCGTGCGCGGGAGGACACGGCTCCCCCTGGCGACGCTGCCTCCCAAGCAGCCTGGCTCCCGGCTGCGCATGCGCTGCGTGTCCGGCGCCTGGTCGGCGCGTGGACGTTCTATTTCTCCCGCGCGGTCTGGGGAGGAAAAGCCCACCTCCTGTGAGCGTGTGTGTCCACCGGCCCCACCCAGCCCAGCTGTTGGCCTGTCCCTCGCTGGACCCGGTCCCCACTGCGAGGACAGGAAGCGCTCCCCACATCCGCCTCCGCCACCAGCCTGGTGACTTGTGGTCACTGAGCCCAGTAGCCAGAGAGGGTTTTTAAAAAGACTCACAGACATGTAATTAAAATCTCAGTGTTGGGTTTTGGGGAAGGTGCTGGGCGGCTCCTGCCCCTGTTTTCGGAAACACAGATTTGCGGCGTTTGAAAGTGACAGGAGGCTAAAGTGAGACAGTACTAAATATACTGTCCTGGGCGTTTCCGGGCAGCGGGGGAAATGTGGGATTGATCGGCCACCCCAGCCTCCTGCCCAGACAGACCAGCCCGGCCACCGGCCCGCCTCGGCTCCCCCTCCAGCCTGTGCATCACCTTCCCCTCCGCCTGTCTTCCATCCCCCAAAAACCACATCGTACCTCTGCTGCCCAGAACCCTGAACCCCACTGGCCAGAGGCACAGCCCACGCTCCTAGGCCGGAATTCCACCCTCCAGAGTCAGACCACAGCCAGACTCACCGCCAGTCCCCCACAGCGCTGATCTGTGGACGCCCCCGCACTGCACACCTGTGCCTCCGAGGTCCCCTCTGCCTGGAATGTCTTCCCTGCCACCTTCTCCCCCCCGCCCCAGAGGACTCTGTCCCCTCCTTCAAGGCCAGTTCAGGTGGCACCTCCCCTGGGAAGCCTGCTCAGATCGCACCCCATCACGGGATCGTCCAGCTTCCCCGGGACCTGACCAGGTGTCACCAGGCGCTGTCACTGCTACCTTGCTCCCTCTTATTCCTTTCCAAGTCTCCCTCTGACCTCCTTGCTCCTTCACCTTGTCCCCAAACAGGACCTGCCATCCTTTCACCTTTTGCTGTCTTTATGGCTGTTGTTTCCCCTGCCTGTGCTGTCTGTCCCTCAGCCCTAGGCCTTTGTTCAGGTTGGCCCTTCCTCTGCAGTGTCCTCCCTTGACGTGGGGGCACATCCACTCTCACCCCTCGAGGCCAAGCCCCAGTGTCAGCTGCAAACGCTTCCTCTCCCCCAGGCTCCTGAGCAGACACATCGGCAGACTCTGGACAGCCCTGGCCTCAGACTGTACTCAGTTCTGCCCCTGGCCGCCCCCATGGCCCGTTTCTGCCTTGGGTCTGATGTCAGTCTTCCCAGAGGAGGGACCTGCCCTCTGCCTCATCCTTGGGTCCCAGAGCCAGCAGGGGATGGGTGGGGCAGGCTGGGTTTGGGGCTTGGGGGCCAGAAGCGGAGGCTGCTCTTGCCGGCACCACGGTGTGCCGGGCCCTGTGCCGGACACAGCACATGGCCCCGCCGCGCCCTCTCAGCACGCAGGAGACAGAGCCTGGGCGCAAGCCCCCTTTGCAGAGGACGGAGCCGTCCCCACCCAGGTGCCTTGGCCCCCAGCTCCCCCCGGTTCTGCCCAGAGCATAAGTGACCGGCGGCCCCACTCTGTCTTGCAGTGGAGCGTGACCGCACCCTGGGCCACCAGGAGCCCCACTGGAAGGAGTTCCGCTTCGACCTGACCCAGATCCCGGAGGACGAGGCAGTCACGGTCGCCGAGTTCCGGATTTACAAGCTGGCCAGCGCCCACCTGCTCAACAGGACCCTGCACGTCAGCATGTTCCAGGTGGTCAGGGAGCAGTCCAACAGGTGCCTGCCCTGCATCCCACCCCCCGAGGAAGCCTGGCCGGGGAGGGGACACTTCCCAGAGGACAGAAGGGGAGCTCCCTGGGGAGCACACCCTCAGAGGCAGAAGGATACTTGGCCGAGGCCTCGTGTCACTGTGGGGAGAGGCCCAGCATCGGTTCTGCCTCACTCCCTGCCCTGCTGTCCTGGCTGTGGGACCTTGGGCGGGTCACTGAGCCCCCGAGCCTCAGTTTCCACATCTGTACTGGGCACAGTAACACCTTCGTACAGTAGATACAGTGAGAGAAGGCACGTGGTGCGCCCAGGCTGAGCCAGGCGGGGTAGGTGCCCCACGCGTGCTCCCCCAGGCGGGCACTGGAAACAAAGGCAGCTGTGCCGGCCCTCAGTTAATTGTTTTTTCGTGTCCACAGGGAGTCTGACTTGTTCTTTTTGGATCTTCAGACGCTCCGAGCTGGGGACGAGGGCTGGCTGGTGCTGGACGTGACAACAGCCAGTGACCGCTGGTTGTTGAGCCGGAACAAGGACCTGGGGCTCCGCCTCTATGTGGAGACTGAAGACGGTAAGGCTCAGGGTTGCGCAGCAGGCCTTCTCCTGGGGGCTCCTCCACGCTGCTGGCGCAGAGCCAGCAGCAGCCCCCTCATTTGGCCCTGGAGGCCTGGCCTTGCTCAGCCCAGGGGCTGGGGCGATAATCCCCTACCTACTTTAGGTCTCAACGGGGCGCAGAGGGCGAGGTTCCCACAGCAGGAGGCCCCCTACCACAGCAGTCTCCCTCCTCTCCTTTTGCAGAACCAACATTTCAGTCACTAAGAGGGAGTCCGCATTGTCCCTCCCCAAGAGCAGCTGTGTATGTGGGGTGTTTCTGTACTGGGCAGGGCCAAGGGGAGATGGTTACACCCTCAGACTCAGATCAGAGAGGGAGGCCTGGGTTTGAATCCCAGCTCGGCAGCACTCTAACCCAGTGACCTTGGCAGGATACTTACCTTCTAAGTCTCAGTGTCCTCCTCTGTAGAATGAGGATTCACACCTTCATTCATTCCCCAGGTAGAAGGGGGAGAGCCTCCTTTATCGTAGGCAGTGGGGAGGGAGAGGCCGAAGGTGGGCACAGGATGGGTGGATCTGAGCTCCAGCCAGGGGCCGCCGTGGCTGGAGCTGGGTGGGCCGGGGCGAGGTGGGCGAGGAGACTGAGAGCTGCAGGCCACACTCTGAGGTGAACCTGGGCCCGGTGTCAGAGTGTTGAGGGTAGCTCCCTGTACTACACAGCAACGGAGGATGTCAGGATCGGAGTCAGGTTTTTAGAAAAGAGCCCTCTGAGCCACCCCCTCGAGGAGGGCAACACTCACCCCTGGTGTGACCACACGTAGTGACTTAGGCTTCCCAAAAGTACAGTGGAAATAGGGTGGGAGAGGTACCTTCACGGAGGAGAGAGCTGACCGCACAACCTCAGCAGGTGATCAAGGCTCATACGAATGTCCTGTACATGGTGCGTCACCGTGGACATGATGGGGTGGGAAGGACCCTTCATTGCGTCATCTTCCCCCCAAAACCCAGAACCCCATCTAACCGTGAGAAAACATCAGACAAACCCAAATTGAAGGACATGCTACAGAATGCCTGACAAGACTTCTCAAAACTGTCCAGGTCATCAAATACAAAGAAAGTCTGAGATACTGTAACAGCCCAGAGGAGCCTAAGCAGTTGTAACAATGGAATGTGGGATCCGGGACGGGACCCTGGAGGAGAAAAAGGACATTGGGGAAGACCCGTGAGATCCGAATACATCTGTTTAGTTTATCATCAGACACCAGTGTTGGTTCATTAGTTGTGACAAGTGCCCGGCGCTCACTTCAGTGTTAACATTTCCGGGGGAAACTGGCCCTGGGTGTCTGGGAACTCTCTGTACTGTCCTTGCGGTTTTTCTGTAAATGTCAACTATTGTAAAATAAAACAGCATATGTATCCAACAAAGGCTGTGCCCCCTGACATCAGCAGGGACAGTAGTCGCGAGAGCGAAGTCAGAGAGGCCCGGGAGCCACACAGCCTGCAGGGAGGAGTGGGGAGGTGCTTGTTGATAGCAAGCAGCAGAAATGGAGAAAAGCGGGTAGAGGAGGAATCATGGAAAACGTGGATTGAGCCAGTGGCCATTTTTTTTTTTTTTAAGATTTTATTTATTTATTTGACAGAGAGCAAGAGAGGGAACACAAGCAGCAGGAATGGGAGAGGGACAAGCAGGCTTCCCACCGAGCAGGGAGCCGGATGCGGGGCTTGATGCAGGGCTTGATCCCAGGACCCTGGGATCATGCTCTGAGCAGAAGGCAGATGCTTAACGACTGAGCCACCCAGGCGCCCCGAGCTAGGGCCATTTTTAATAGAACCTTTTTTTTTCCTGCCCAAGTAAAAGTAGAGGAGGGGCAGACTTGAGCGAGCAAGCCAAGGGTCCTTTTTTGGCCACAATGTTATTGAGAGCCCTGGTTGACGTCCAGATGGAATGTCAGCTCGGACAGGTGAGTGCTGGGGCACAGGTGTGTGAAGCGCTGACATCTAAGTGTCTTGAGAGCCATGGGACCTGAGCAGGTCACCCGGGCAGGAGGTGTCAATGGAGAAGGAAGGGGACGGCCCAGAACCCTGGGCCCTCCCACATGGAGAAGGCTGCGCAGAAGGGTTATGTGGAGGATCTATCCTTCCCACCCACAGGATTTAGGGCTGGGGACGGTGGCCTTCCCGCCAACCCCCGCGCCCAGGGTCAGGCTTCCCCTCAGTGATGCCGCCACGGTGCCTCTGCGGGAACCTCTCCTTCCCCATCCGGCCGCAGGGTTTGGGTCTCCTGGGCCAGGAGGCGTGGTGCTTCTGGAGCCCCTCAGAGCATGGAGAGGCCAGGCTGTGGAGGGCACCTGGTCCCCACGTCACGGCCCCGCATGCCCTCCCTGCTCTGGACACGCTGGCTACAGCGGTCTGTCCCCACCGGGTCCGGTGCCCGGAGGCAGAGCGCATGATGGCGGCCCTCCGGCGGCTAGCGATGGTGCTAGGGCGTTGTGTCCCCCCTGGCCATTCGGGGCCCACACTGGCGGAGGCCCAGGGCGGTGTGCGCGGCCTGGCCACCAACACTTGTGCCTGCACCAAATTCTACACGGATCCCATGGAGGCCGTGAAAGATATTTCTGACAGGGCCAAGATCATGGTTGGCGGCTTTGGGCTCTGCGGGATTCCAGAGAACCTGATAAAGGCGCTGCTGGAGACGCACGTCAAGGACTTGACCGTGGTCAGCAGCAACGTGGGGGTGGACGACTTCGGGCTGGGCCTTTTACTGGAGACCAAGCAGATCCCCCGCATCATTGGCTCCCACGTGGGGGGAACATGCTGTGCGGGCACCACTACCTGTCTGGCGAGCTGGAGCCGGAGCTGCTGCCCCAGGGCACCCTGGCCGAACGCATCTGTGCGGGGGCGCCGGGGTGCCCTCGTTCTACACGCCCACGGCCTACAGGACCCTGGCGGAGGAGGGAGGCACCGGCGGCCGGCGGCCACGTGGTCATCATGAGCCAGCCCCAAGAGGTGAGGAGTTTCAGGGGGACCACTATCTTCTGGAGCAGGCCATCTCGGCCCGTTTTGCTTTGGTGAAAGGGTGGAAGGCTGACCGCACAGGAAACGTCATCTTCAGAAGAAGCGCCAGGAATTTCAACGTTCCCATGTGCAAAGCAGCAGAAACCTCAGTGGGGGAGGTTGAAGACATTGTGGATGTGGAGACGTTTGCCCCCAAAGACATCCACATTCCTAACATTGATGTGGACCCTGTAATCCAGAGGGAAAGATATGAGAAAAGAATTGAGTGTCTAACCGTGCAGAGGAAGGTGAAAAAGCCAAGTCTGTGGGTGACCTCAAGGCCCGGATCATCACACGGGCAGCTCTTTTTTTTTTTTTTTTTTTAAGATTTTATTTATTTATTTGACAGAGAGAGAGAGAGTACAAGCAGGCAGAGAGGCAGGCAGAGGGAAAGGGAGAAGCAGGCTCTCCGCTGAGCAGGGAGCCCGATGCGGGGCTCGATCCCAGGACCCTGGGATCATGACCTGAGCCGAAGGCAGACGCTTAACGACTGAGCCACCCAGGCGCCCCACACGGGCAGCTCTTGAATTTGAGGATGGCATGTACACTGATTTGGGCATAGGATCCCCTCTCCTGGCCAGCAACTACATCAGCCCCAATATAACTGTTTATCTTCACAGTGAAAATGGGATCCTGGGCTTGGGTCTCTTTCCATTAAAAGAGGAGGTGGATGCAGATCTCATCAGCGCAGACAAGCAGACGGTCACCATTTTCCCTGGGAGCTGTTTTTTCTCCCGCAATGACTCATCTGCCATAATTCGAGGGGGACACCCGCACCTCACCATGATGGAAGCCATGCAGGTTTTCCAGTACGGTGACCTGGCTAACTGGATGATCCTGGAAAGAAGGTGAAAGGCACGGGGCGAGCCATGGATTGGTGTCCAGCGACAAGACCAGAGTGGTGGTCACCATGCAACATCGCACCAAGGACAAGGAACCCAAAATCATGGAGAAATGCACCATGCCACTGACCGGGAAGCGCTGTGTGGACTGAATCATCCCCGAGACATGCACAAGAGAGGCCTGACACGGATGGAGCTCTGGGACGGCCTGACAGAGGACGACGTCAAAAAGAGCACAGGCAGCCCCCCTTCGCCGTGTCACCAACCCTCAGACCCACGCAGCCCGTGGCAGCCTGAGCAGGGAAGGAAGCCCTGGTCCCAGAGGGTGGGTTTCATTGGAACCCATAGGAAGTGTGATCACCTCTGTCCGAGGTGCTGGCCGCCTGACCAGCTTTCCTACCGCCAGACAGACTATTCTCTCAAGAGGGATATGGCTTTAATTAAAAACCAAAGGAGAATGTAGCCGTTTATCTTCTGTGTTCTGTGTGTCCTGAGATCGGTCTGGTACCATCGTCGGGCATGCAGACACCCTCCTCTGTGCTGTTTACATGAAATTCTGTGCAGCTCGGATGAGCCCACAGGACAGCTTTCACGGAAGGGCCTTCCCTTGTGAATGAGCCACGAAATGTGGGAGGAAGGTGTGACCACCCCGTACACCCAAGGCTCCACTTTGCCAGCACCGTGAAAAATATACAAGCCAAACATGCACCGTGACCGGAGGAATGCTGCCTGCCTGAGCTTGTCTTCCTGCAGCCCCTCTGGCTTTTCCTCTGGGGCCTTCCATCTTGGGGCTAAATTCTGTAGCCTCCCCTCTTCCTCCCTGCACGGCCTCCTTCTCATGGCTAAACAGATGTGTCTGGAAGGGCAGCGAGGCTGTCTAGCTGGGCCAGAGCACTGGTAACGCAGTGACAGGCGGGGAGAGAGGCTCCTCTGTAGATAAACAGGCCCCCGTGCGCTGTCAAAGGCGGCAGCTTGTGGTAGGAGGGGTTCTAGAAACCAAGACGGACTTAATGGGTTTTCTCCTCTTCAGACATGGGTTCCTGTGTCCCCCAGGACACTCAGGCCCTTTCTGCCTGTCGTGGAGCCCTAGACTGGCCTGTTGTCTCTACTCTCTTAGAATACA